CTTGAGAAACTGTATAGTTCTAGGTTTCACATTTAAGTCTTTGATCCATCTGGAGTTCGTTTTTGTGTGTGGTGTGAGGTACAGATCTTGTTTCATTTTTCTGCAAATGGATCTCCAGTTTTGCCAGCACCATTTATTAAACAAACATTCTCTTCCCATTTAATGGATTTGGGGCCTTTAGACATACACTTTTCCAAATAAAAATTTTGTATACACACACACATTTCTTTCAACCACAATTTACACTTCTGGTAATTTATCCTGAAAAGATACCCTGAAGGCAAAGAGATAATATACAAGATGGTTTGCCTTACCATTATTTATAACAATGGAAAAGTACAAAGCACTTAAAATGCACTGCTGTGTAAGCAGAATTCAATAATGATATCTATATTATGGAATACTATCTAACCATTAAAGTCAATGTAGAGCCATATTTATCAATCTAGAAATATATCCATTTTGTATTCAAAAAGCAAATTACAAAAATATATATAATGATTGCATGCATGTGAAAATCACATTTAGCATTTATGCACACATGTGCATAGGGAGATGTCTGAAAGGATGGTCACTAAAATGTCAGCACAAGTTATCCCTAGGCAGCTAGATCACATGTAATTTTATTTTCTTTATTTATGCTTTCTAAGTTTCCTAAATTTACCAAGTTTTCTTCAATAAAACTATATTACTTTTATATCATAAAAATGTTAATTTAAATGTAAGTAAAGTGGCCATGGAAAAACATTCTTATAGCTTCCTTAGATAAGAACATTTCACCTAAAAATTACCCCTATATATAGTTTGATGAACTCAACAACAAAAATTTAAAAACAAACTTTTCCAAAATATTTGCTAAGACTCTTACAGATTTTTTCTTTCATAAAAAAATTTATGCATAAAATTCATAATGAAAGAAATAAATCCTTCTGTTTTGCCTTCCACCCCAGAACACAAAGGCCTTACAAGCTCCAAGTTGCCAATGGCAATGTAAGAAAGTGATTAAGAGAAAATGCAAAATATATCTTGTTTTTCAACCATTCATCAAATATTTTTACACTTATCTTTGCTCGGCAATACATTTCAAAGGAATTGGCTGAGAGAAGATGTAAAGATCCTTTTTAGATTTGTGGTTCAGAGAGCCATAAT